TAAATTTAATTAAAAATGTCTTTCCCCTGTTTTTTTCTCCTATGCTGAAATTTAGTAACAGACCTGGAATTTCTTCTCCTATTAAATGAAATGCTTTGCAGACGCTGCTGAGCTCTTTGGACTGGAAGTCAGCTTAAAGAAGACAGAAGTTCTCTATCAACCTGCACCTCAGGAAGTCTTCCATCATCCCCATATCACCATTGGTCAATCAGAGCTCAAATCAGTCCAGCAGTTTAATTACCTAGGCAGTCTCATCTCCTTGGATGGTAAGATTGACGGAGAGATAGACAACAGGTTAGCAAAGGCATATAGTGCCTTTGGAAAACTCCATAAAAGAGTTTGGCGAAACAAACACTTGAAGAAGAGTACCAAGGTCAGTGTTTACAGAGCCATTGTGCTGTCTACTCTTTTATATGGATCTGAATCATGGGTCATCTACCGCCACCACCTGCGTCTCCCTAGAACACTTCCATCAGTGCTGTCCGTACAGTCCTAAACATCCACTGGTCAGATTATGTGACCAATACATCTGTTTTAGAACAAACAGCAGTCACAAGTATTGAGGCCATGTTGATGAGAACACAACTGCGCTGGGCAGGGCATGTCTCAAGGATGAAGGACCACCGCCTCCCTATGATCTTGCTTTACGGTGAACTTGCCACTGGCTGCCGCACGAGAGGAGCCCCGAAGAGAAGATACAAGGACTCCCTGCAACAACATCTCAGCCTCTGCCCATAACTGGTCTGCTCTGGCCTCCGGTCGGGAGGCCTGGAGACACACCATCTATAACGCTGCTGATGCCTTTGAGAACGCACGCAGGATCACTCTTGAGGAGAAAAGACAACACAGAAAGAATCGTACCTTGCAGAATATACCACCTAAGGAGTCTTTCTGCTGTGCCTTTTGCAACCAGACTTGTCTATCTCGTATTGACCTTATTAGCCACCAGTGTGCTTGTAACAAATGTGGATAGAGCCTTTCCCAAATCTTCGTTTGCGAAGCCTAGCCATGAAATGAAATGTACACTTCTATAACAAATTATCCAAATTACGTTAAATAATTTGTTTAATAGAAGATTTTCATACTGCTGTAGTTCTGTGGGAGGGTAACGGAGAAGCAACTGAACTCCACAGTGTTCATCATCTACCCCTTGCAGAATAGAAGCAAATAAAGAGGAAATCCACAGAGAGAAATGAGGTGACGTGCAGAGTTCCCAACCTAAGTCTGAGCAAATGCGTATGTCCAGAGGATACCACTCAGTAGTGGGCAAAAACACTAGCTCAGTTTTTTCCAGAAATTATGGCTATATTGTTGTGGTGCAGCTCTCCCTTCTTGCCCTGAATTACAAATGAAAAAGAAGAAAATGAAATCGTGAATTAACTACATCCAAAATAAAAAGCAACATTAGTTTTAATGAGGAGTGGTTTTCCAATCTAGTGTGCTATCTGACTTTCACCAGTTCAGCTCCACAGCAGTGGCATGACTCAGAGAGGTTTGTAGAGGGTAGTTCTCTCATGTGCTCAATACTTGTGCATCTTGTCATCTTTACTGGGGCCTTTTCTGAACTCGTGCGATGAAAACCTGTCGTCTTCTTACTCTGCACAGCGGCAAGACATCCTCTCCACTGCTGAAAAGAACTAATTTCTTTTTTTTCAATCCATGAATTTAAAGAAAATATGTGAATCAAGATGTTTTCAGTGCCATAAATTAAATAAAGCATTATAATTTAATTGCACTATGTGTTAACAGAGTATTTTTCCTGTTGCCTAGCAATGAGATTTGCCATGAGATTCACCATGTGCTTAAGATTCCATTTCTAACATCTGTTTCCAAAGGTTGTAACTTTATTAAAAATCATTACTCATAGGACAATCCAGAAAGTGCATGTTGGATGTTATGGGGTCACTTATTAAGGAAGCTTGAGGCAAGAAGCTCTGGGGCCCTCTTATTTCTTTACCCTTTCTCCCATTTTACTGTATGTGGTAAACTCTGGAAGTAACTTTTTGAGCAGCAATTTGTGTTTCCCCATGAAACAGAAGGTCTAGGAAAGGCTTTGAGCGCTGGTGTTTGAGGTCATCTGCATTAGCGTTGCACAAAGTAATGGAGTAGGTCTGGATATTTTCTTCGGGGGACCGTAGTGCTTGGTATGTTGGAGGATCACATGGAACCTGATGAGAAGACTAATGCTTGAAGAGATTGGAGGAGCAATACCTCTGGTAAGAGTGAAAAGAAAAGCTATAGGCCAAGCCTGGAAAGTCACTTTGTTTACAAGAGGAGCTAGCTTAAAGTTAGGGCCAGCAAGTGTATGCAAAACCAGACAGCTTTTAGCTTGGGGATAAAACCCAGTGTATTTAGTTCTTGTTCCAGTTACCTTTGATAAAGGATGGGGTTTGGATTGTCTTTACTACTCCATGAGGCAGTGCTGTACTTAAAAGGACTTGAATTTGAGTTCATGGAGAAAAGGGCTTAAAAATACTCAACATCCAAGGTTTTTTTCTGAGAATATATCTGAGAAGCAAGTGTTTTTGGCATACAAAGTTATTAGAAACCATGTCAGAATAATAGCAGTGCTCTGCTGCTCATAGTTGTGTTTCCAGACTGCATCTTGCTGCAAGGCAGAAAGCAAAAATCCGGTTTGTTCACTGTATTCTATAGAAGCATTTAAGGAAGGAGTATATGATTACTGGACTTGTAAATTTGGACTTAACAAAAGATGCCAGGACCAGCCTTCATGAGGACATGTGGGAGGAAGGTATTTTGAATTAATCCTTTTTAAAAGCTAAAACTGTCTGTAACTACCTAGTGTTTCGAAATGGTTGTGATTATTACAAAAGATCTGGGTTTGCATATTGAGCTTTATGAAGTTTACTTATAGAAGATAAGTATAAAAGAAGATAAAAACATTCCCATGTTTTTAGTTGTGAATCTTCAGGGAATGTGGATTTACTCATGTTGTAAATACTACTTTTTAACATCTATATAATTTCAATTTGTCACCTTTATAATCATTTATTTTTAATTAAGAAACATAGAAATTTGAAGTTCATGCCCTCAGGTGAGCAAAGTAATTTTTACTGGAAAAGGAGGCATTCATAAATACTGGCATTTATCTGGCATTATAAGCATGCAAGATTAGATAAGAAAACCAAAGTAAAAGACAGACTTTTATTTAGATGAACTGGCTTCTCTACCCCATGATTGTTTCAGTATGTATATTTTTGCACATATATGTAATCTTTCTTTAGGGTTATGTAGTCTCAAAATAATTATTAATATATAATTATGAATGCTAATTGCTTTTAGAAATCTGTTAGGCGTATGTCATTTTTGTTGATAAAATATAGATCATATAGATGACCTAGATCAATATTAAATGTGAAAAAGTAAAGTGCAGTATTTGCCATGGTTGACATAAATGGCATTTCCTGTTTATCGTGACTGTCTTAGGCACTACTTAGTATTCCTGAAGCCTTTGTATAGAAAATGAGGAAAGGGAGGTGTGCCTGAGAGTCCCTAATTTAGACATTTAAAGTTCGAATTTGCAACTAATCTTCCTCATCCCTCTTTTCTTATAAGTGCTCTGAAATCTTCCATCTTCATCAGCCTGCCGTGAAAAATTCCATTTCTCACTGGAGTGCACATTGTGTTAGTGATCTGGATTTCACATCGCATGTGCTTCCCTAGAAGATCATCAACCATACAAGAACTGAATGAAAATGAATGTGTTGCCCTGACAGGGTCTAGTACTACTATCATGATAATAACTAGGGCACTGGCAAAATGTTGATTGTTTTTTTGCTGTTAAAATGACCCTTGAGGGAATGTGTAAAATACAGTGCTCTAGTTTGGCATATTCCTGTATTAAAGCGGCTCGTAGGGTTGTATCTTATATATGTCGTATGAGTCAGAAACATACCATATAATTGCATTATGTCTGTGTAGAGGGGAAAATGAGGGGGAGATGTTTATGGGTCTTTATTTTTAATCTGGTTTTGATTTCTAAAGCTTCTGTAATGCAGAGATGAAACACCTTATACATTACTGCTGGCTAGTGAGATTGTACTGGTATTAACCTGCACCATGTCAGAATTGATTTGAGGATCTCCCAAAGCTTAGTTAGACTGTTGGGAAATGGTTAGGCAAAGTATAGCTAGACTTTACATTATATAGAGTAGGCCTAGGACCATTTCTGTTCTTACGAAAGAACATTTATCACATGTTCTACCATGCTCTAGAAAGAGTTATTTGGCTCTCCTGGAAACCTGTCCTAGTAAAGAACATAAGTAATCACAGCATTCTCATATTGGAGTCTGATATCTTTAATGGTTGCTCTCATTTGATGTCTAGCAAACTTTGTTTTTATTTTGCGATGTCTTATTTGTTTTGTAAGTTTGTATAATTATACCTGATGATTTTAATTTAACAAATCTGGGGTGTTTTGTTTCTTTGTTTTTTCTCCCAACACCTCTTTTTCCCTAGGAAAAAAATGGATAGTGATGGCTCTAAGTTTCTAACAACAAAATGGAAAAAATTTGAAAAATATTTATGTGTAATTTCAACAAGTAACAAGAAGGAAGCAAAAATAGTTTTAAATTAATGGAAACAATTCCTAAACCATATTTGTTGCACAAACCCCTGATTTTTAGCCTGAATTTTACCTAACATTTGCTTCTAACCTGTGATACTGCAGCTGCAAAGTAAGAGTCTTAAGTTATTTCTACTTTTTTGCGGGGAAATGATTCAAAAAAATGATGCCAATGAAGTTTATAGTAAAATTGAACTCATAGTTTTAAGTGATCAGCAAAGATTATGTCTCTTAGAAAAATAATGTTTGATCCTGTGCTGAAAGAGTGACTAAGAAGGCATTGGAGTATTAGTCTTTTGAGGTGTCCTGGGTTCACTCTTTGTGCGTCAGAGGAAACAAGGACTGCACTAAAACACAAAGTGCCTTAAATAAAAACACTTAAATCTTCACATACATTTTTATTGTTGTCTTTTAGGTTGACTGGGGTCAACTGGACTATTTAGTAATTGACATGCCACCTGGGACTGGAGATGTGCAGCTCTCAGTATCACAGAATATTCCAATTGCAGGTATGTGTTTTGCTTGACTGTTTCAGAGATTTGAAGTTAGTTAAGTTTGGTGGTGTAACCTAAAGAGACCACAGAGAAAAAAACTCCAGGCCAATTTAGTGTATAAGACAAGATAAAAAGAGCAGATCGTTTAATCAGGGCCTCAGGCCCAGGGAATACACATGGCGCATGCACCCAGGCAGTGGTTCTGTGACTTTATAATAAGGTCCATCCAATCCCAGATTTATCTACCTCCTGGATCTGCCCAGTTCTGCCCCCAACATGCCCCTTTGGGAGTTGGGTCTGAGGTCTTTGGGAACCCTTCTTCCTCATCTTCTTCTTCTTCTTCACAGCATGTATAGTCCTTGGAGCTCCTCCAAAGTTCTGGGCTTGAAGGTTGCTTTTGTCTGTTCTGGTATCTTGTTGTTCAGGCCTAGGGTACGATGTTCTTGAACAGAGGTGTTCTTCTACAATTCTACCTTGAAAAGAAGACTAAACACGCTAAAGGAATTTAGAGGGGTTTGATATGAAATGGAGTAGTAGGGTTGAGTATGTGTAAACTACTGTGCTAAAGGGTGGCATATTATACAGGTACATTAAAATCTACATTTACTACTAAACTACTTCTAAAATCTACAAAAAGCTAAAAAAAATCCAAAAAGCTCTGAAAAATCTTATTTTAAAATGCCAGTCAAAAGTTCTTTTAATTTTCTTTCTAGCATGCTAAGAAATTGTTTTGTCAGTTGTGTGGTGATGAAAACATTATCAGTGATTTTTAACATGTTAGCATTATGGTTGTGTTACTTTCTTTTAAGCTAAGTTTTGAAAAGATTGAGAAGTCGAGTATAGTTCTTGAAGGAAAAACAGTCATGCCAAAAACTGGTGAGTTTTGTAGTAGAAAATTTTCTTTGTCTGTACCTTACTACATAGTAAAGCTAATACAATAAAATAGTTTGTCTTTATGATTGCTTTTTAGTTAGAAGGTGTAAATGCTGTTAATTCACAACATTTATTCAGATAAACTATTCAGCACTGTAATACACTAATGCATTCTTTTTCCTCTTGTGTTATGAATTTGACTTTTTGGAGGGGGTTTAAACTTCAACAGATCAATCTTGCCATATGTAGGCTGCGCTCTAATCTCATTGGTTTCAGCAGGATTTAGAAATACTGCTTCTGAAAGAATGCTTGAGCATCTCACGAGGTCTGATAGACTGTAATGGTTTATTACCTGTCTGACGTACTTCAACAGAAGCATTTGTCAAGCAAACATAAACAATGTTAGGAACTCAGTGGTAAAAAAGAGAAAGCAATCCTTAACAGTCTCAGGAAAAATTTAATAATTGCTGTGGCTCTTCACCAGGAAGGGAGTCCATGGGATCTCCTTTCTGACCAGTTGTCCAGATCATACTAGACAAATCCCTAACTGGCCCTATCTAGTGTTGCCAGTAGAAGACCTCCGGAGACCTTTTCCAACCAAAAATTCTGTGAATCTCAGTTAAAAAGGCATCAGTAGGACCACTTGCTCCGGTTTTAATGGTATCAGACAAGTATGTCAATACAAACCTAAAACATAAGCATCTTTTGCTGCTCTCATTCTTTTCTGAGTGCAGACTGGCTTGTGCACAGGCCCTGTTTACCTCCAACGCTCCTTTATCTCTGCACTGTGGTGTCAGTAACACACTGAAGTGAAACCACTAAACATTAAATTGGTAGAAATGTTTCCACTTGCATGTAGAACTCTTACCAGAATGTCTATAAATTTAATTAATAAAGAATTGCATATCTCTAAAGCTTCATAGGATAGGATTAAAGAGTAAGCTAGAGCTATAGGTAAAAGACAGGGCCATCTCTAAGGGGACTACAGCTAATGGGTTTTGGGACACACATCCAGCTTTCACAGCAAAACCATTAACAGGACACTGACATCTGCAGAATTGAAAGGAGTCTTTTATCAGTCAGGCAGTACCTTGTAGCTTTTTCCTTAACGCAGGTATGTCTCAGCTTCAGTCAGTCGAACACGATAACCACAGTTACTCATATATCTAGAAGACAGATTTTTTGACAAATAGTTAAATTTAGCATCAAGGCTGTGTGGGTATCTCATGATCTTCCATGATGTCAAGTTCAGGAAAATATAAATCTTTTGGCATATAAAACTAAAATGTTCAGACAAATGCTAACTCAACCATAACATAATTGCCCTAAAATGGTTAATAATCACAGGAGGTTCTCTCTGCTGCCTGTGATTGTGTTGAGTTGTGGAAGGGAGCATATCAACAGAGTTGTGATGAAGAATATAACAAATTTTTCCCAGAAGAAGTAGAAGATGAGGCTTCTAGTGCCTCAGCTTATCTGTGACCTGGAGCATATGATAAAAAGCAAGCTGATTCATACCCATTTTCTTAAATACAGTGCTTAGTAGGTTGCACGTGTGAGTAGAAAGCAGGAGGACCTTTTACTCCTGGTATTTTAAGCAATGAGTTGAAACATGACAGTGGTACAGAAGTTTTTGGTGAAGTAGAATTTCATAAAATCATGTAAAATTATGAAATTGAAGAGTTGTGGATTTATCTTTGGGAATGATGTTATTTGTTTTTTTTAAAGTACATTAGATATTGATAATTTCTGTTTACTACAGTGCACTTAAATGTCCTGATTTAACATAGAAAAGGTCATTAGACTGTCATGGTTTGAAATTGGCCCCCCTGAGAGGCTGGGGGACTCAGAGGTGATTGGGTGCCAGGGCAGTGTTCCCTGGAGAGCCAGTCACCACTCATGTTGTTCTCTTCTGCTCAAAATCAGCACCGGAAGCTGTTGGCAGTTTTGTCTTGGTTGTTTTGCTGTTGGTGTCTGCTGTGTGTAGGTGGACAAGGCCGGGGTGGCTGGGCTCCCTCTCTTCCCCTCCCGGGGGGAGAGGGGAGCCCTGCGACCCCCCAGCTCAGCCTTTGGCTAGAGTCAGCATTTGGAGTGTGTGCTGTCAAAGAAGAATTTCACAGCACCTGAGGTAAGAGGGAGGAGGCTAGGCCTTCTTTTCCCCACCTGCAGCTGTGGGACGCTTGGGACAATGCATAACTGAACTGAGCTCCCTGTGGCCAAGGCTAGGGGGCTTTTTCCCCCCCACTACATTTAGGCTGGTGGGGGGTGGATTTTAAGGCTCAACATTTGAGCAGAGCCAAGTGGACGGGCTGATAAATCAGCTCGGTGCTCGGGAGGAGAATCCCAGGCGAAATTGGAGGCGAGCCAAGAGCTTGAGAACTGCCTGCCGAAGCTGACCGGGGGGAGCTGAGAACTGACGTGGAGGAATGAAGATTCCAAAACACAGACGGTTGATAAGCTACACTGCAGCAGCTTACGAATCAAGGTGAGACACCGAGAGGGAGAAATCACCAGCAGCAGAAGAGCAAGGACTCAAAACTATCTTCTTGGACTTCGTGAGGAGAGAAACTACAACAAACAACTTGAACTTGGTGGGGGGGGAGCGTTCAGGAGCCCAGAACACTCCCACAGCAAAAGACTGTGTTACGTATCAGCCTTAAAGGCTGCTCCTGGACTAAAGTTAAAGGAGGGACTTGAAAGGACTGACTGATAGTAATGTAATATATATATATATAGTTGCCTTTAGTTTGTATAGTATTTATTTGTGTAAATAAATGTATATACTTCCCCCTTCCCCTACAGAAGCCTCTGGCCTGAAAGTTTCTCTCTGTTGTTAGGATAAATTGTGGGAAGGAGTGGGGGGGGAAGCCTAAAAATTGGATTTTAGATTTTTCTAATGTGGCTCAAACTGCCACAAGACTATGGATCTTCAAGGGATTGTTGTGCCCTTTCCACACAGAACTGTACACGGCCTTCAGGAGTGTAAGTGGTTGTGGTGGTACACTGGGTCCTCTGGGACAAAGAGGTGATGGAAATTACTTTAATCATGTATTTCTTCTGAATTTTGCTGATGTCTGCTTTTGGAAGGTCATAAAATCTTTCTGACTGATACACTATATCAGTAAATGGAAACTTTAATTTTTTTTCTCATAATACTTACATCTTCAAGCAAAACAATTTTTCAAAAGTTGAATTTTCTTGCTAAGTGTAGTAATGTCCACATTCTTGTGTAGATGTAACAAAGTGAAGAATTAAGAGTAAATAATTTTTATGCTGTGTTTTTGTTAGTTGTCCACGTGATTGTCAGAAACCTGTGGTATTCATACCTGTTAAATCAGGTTTTGAGGCAAGTCAAAGTAGACAACATGTTGATCTTAAAAAGGGAAAACAGGTTTAAAGCAACAACAAGCAATGCAGATTTTCTTGATATGCCATAAAAGGGGATATATTCTTGCCCATGTCTCTCTTTAAACTAGAGCTTCCTGGCATAGTTTTTAGCTTTTTTTTTTTATTTATTTGGACAAGTATGGGCTTTTAAAACTTCCTAACTGAAGACAGCATTTTGATTTGAATTCTGAAATGTCTTCACATTGTTCTTGAAGTTGTTCAGTTCAGCTTATTACTTTGTCAATCCTAACGTCATAAAATTAGGAGTGATAGTATCACTTTACGTTTGTCTTTCCCATTAGTTTGTTTTGTTGAGCCTGCTGAAGTCTTCTGCAGTTTAAAAAAAAGAAATGTATTCTGCTTTTGATGAAGACAAATACAGCAGAGAAGGAGTGATAGGATTTTTAATTCCCTGTGCTCTTACTGGTTCAGTGAATTTGTGATTTATGAAGAATTTTCTCTGTTGTTTATTATGGCTATTTTTCACCCTCATTGCAAGGGCTTCTTTTTGTACAGCTTGAACTGTGCTTTCTTCTTTTGCTCGTTACTTGGTTTCTGTCTCTTTGACAGTCCCTAGTGTTGTTTAGCATGCTTTTATTTTCTTCAACTTAGTTCCTTTCAAAGATGTTGAAGATAGTGTTACACATCTTGATGATCATATCTTTGGAGCAGTCCACAGAATTTGTCTGGCTTGAGGACACCATTTGCAATTCATATTTTCTAAGCCCTATGTTGTCTTTTACTTTGTTGTGGAA